AGCTGATTTTCACCAAAAATTAAAAATGTTTGCTGCAAGGGATTCCATTAAGGAAGTGGGGAGAGGAAGCCCCTGTCTAGAAAAGCAGGGGCTTATAAATAATATCTGATATGAAATTAGTATGCAGAATATAAAGGGTATGCTTTTAGCTAAAAAAAAAAAGACAAATATTCGATGGAAAAATGAGCATAAGATTTGAGTAGACATTTCTCTAATGAACACATAAGAAAAAAACAGTTGCTGTGCTGAATCATTCAGGAGACAAGTATGAACACAGTGAGATGGCTCACTCATTACAATGTCCATAATCCCAAAAGACAGGCAATTACAAGTGTCGGCCAGGGTGCGGAGACAGCCATAGATGATTGGTGGGGATGTGAAATGGAGAAGTCAGTTCAGAAAACAGTGTGGTAGTTCCTCAGAAGTTTGACACAAAGTCGCCATAGACCATTAGGTATATTCCCGAGGTGGTGAAAATATATGTGAACAGAAAACACATATATGGATATTCAGAGCAGGGTTGTTTATATCTACACGGCGAGGACAAAAATAAAATGCTGGTCAATGGATACATGAATAAATAAAATAGTATCTATCTGTACAATGAATTGTTACTTATAAACAAATAGATTATGGATTGTCCGTTCATAAAATATCCGAATTGACAACGCTTCTCACACAAAAAGCAGTTTAGTGCTGAACAGTGTGATGGTTGGTGTGACGTCAGCTTGACACAAGATAGTCACTTCGGTTAAAGGGATTTCAACTGGGAAAATGCCTCGGTAAGACTGGCCTGTAGGCACATCTGTCAGGCATTTTCTTGATTAATGAGAGATGTTGGCGGCCCAGGCCACTCTGATGTTGCCACCCCTGGGATGGCAGGTAGTCCTGAGATGTGTGAAGAATGGGGGGGGGGGGCAGTCCAGGAAGCAGCTTCCCTCCCTGCCCTCTGCTTCAGTTTCTGCCTTGCGTTCCCGCCCTGCCCTACTTCCCTCAGTGATGGACTGGTAGCTGAAAGTAGGAAACAAACTAAACCCTCCTCAAGGCGCTTTTGCTCAAGGTGTTCACCACAACAGTAGGAACCCTAAACTAAGATAGGAATTGGGTAGGAATTGGGTGCTGATCATTGTGCTAATCAACCAGCGAATGGTGTAGAACTGTGGTAACAAAACTGATGGCGAAACTCTGTGAACCCCGGAAAAGCTACCAAATCATGCACTTCAACTAGATATGGATGGCACAGTAAGTGAATTATATTATTATTATATTTTATTTATATATTATATTAATATAAGTATCTTATATTATATTTTGAAAAGTTAGTGTTCTGTGGGAGGGAGGGGCTCACAAGTCCCCACCCATAGTGGAGGAGCAGTTGACAGGAAGAGTCATTTTTCTTCAGAGGTGTTGCCCCCGTCCACAGGTCAACCACACTCCAGTGGATGGCTCACAGCCGTGAGCATGCAGGCATCACAACTGGACTCAGCAGGTTAAAGAAATAAATGAACAAGAAAAAAAAAAAGAGAGAGAGAGAGAAGACCTTGAAATTGGGAAAGGAAAGGGATGTAGCGGTAGATCTGGGAGGAGTTGAGCCAGAGTAGGAGGTGATTAAGATGAAAATACACTGTGCTTGCAAGAAATTCTCAAAGAATCAATCAAATACTATATTTTTCAAAAAAAATTAATGTGCTGAATGCACTTTAAATAGAGTCTCTCTACCCACTTCCCTGCTTCCCTTTTCCTCTTCTCTTCCCACCCTCCCTGTTTCCTCCCTTTCCCCTTTCCTTCTTCCCATCTAAATTATAAATTTGTGATGGTATATGTTTGGTCCATGAGTTATGGTGTAATGATATTGTCAACTAGGAAATAAGAAGAGACGACAAGACAAAACTGTGGAAGATTCACTTAGCTGGAGCAACCACAGACAAAAGAGAGAGAATATCAGAACTTTAAGTCTCCCTGTTGACATTTATTCTTTTTTTTTTTTTCATTCAAAGTATAAACATTTAAGACATTGTACTGGGTGCTATTTTATGATTTCTATGCAACACATGTTTTCCTCAGTGTAAACCTGAGACCAAGTTTCAAAATGTTTAATAACCACTGGGCATTGGCTATGCCTTCCTTTTCTGTAGCGAATAATTTATAAAAGTGGACTTTGGTCCATCACAAGTTGCTTTAAAAGGTAAAATGCAAATCACAGTTGAAAAATCTCTTGACATTTACACAAACATGAAACACTTAGAAAACTCCACAAAGAGCTGTGTGTCTTGAACAATGTCCAAGTTCGTTTGATAGCACCATTGGGACTACTAGAACCAAAAGGAGGAGCATGCAGAAGCCAAGCTGCTCAGCTGTTTTTTTTTTTTTTTTCTTCCACAAGTTTCTTTCTCCTCAAGAGTTTTCAGACTTCCCCTTTGGATTTGGAAGGATGGAAGCTTGACCCAAATGAGGTTGGTCAGTGGCCAATATCAGCCGATTATTCCCCAGAGAAACTGGCTAACTATAAAATAGCTCTCTGGGGATTCAGAGATTCCAGGATTAAACCAAAACCCACTTCTCCTTGGAGCAAGCCTAAACCTTCATTATTATGAGTCACAAGTTTTGTCTGAGGCCCTATCTCTGTGACTTCAGGAGGGTTTGCAAGGTACTATCTGTGGCTGAACTCAGATCTGACATGGATTTCCGAAGTCTCTTTAAAAGTGAAGAGAATTGGGCCTTTATAATTTAAGACCTTCTAGGCTTGCAAGAATTCCCTGGACCTATTGTAGTTTATGGTTAGGTCTTTAGAATTTAATTAAATTGGATTCTGGCGATGAGTCACATGGACAGAGAAGGTAGCCCTGGGTATGGTCTTTAATTTAAAGAACAACCCTCTCATTTCTCTGTGGTAGATCCACCCGTTATCTCCCTCCTGGGATGAGCAGTAATGGCCCAGGAATCTTGAGGAGGAAGGGTGCGTGTGCATATTCCCAGCACATCTTATGTCTATGAAACACATCACATTTACAGAAAGTAAAAGCTATAGTCACAGCACCAGGAACATGCTGTATCTCACCGAATCTCAGGGACTGAGTGGGGATAACAGTGGGTGGGAGATTCTAACTGGGGAAAATAATTAGACTTCAAAGCAAAACTAAAAGGAAGAGAATTTCAGCCAACTAATTACGTCATCAGAATCTATGCATTATTTTTTTAGGCAAAAGACTGTTTTTCTCCCTAAATTTTATTATTTACCTCTACTCCTTTGGTATCTTATTCTCATTCATTTATTGAGCATTACTTATTGAGAAATTATACCTTGTCAGATAGATATCTGAAGTTTTGTTATGTAACTTCAGAATGTCTAAGGATGAGTGAATGAGAGAACAGAATAGACCAAGAAAGAAAACTGCAACATTATGTACAATCTTATCCCCTCTTGATTTTGGTGCATCACTTTTAATTTAATCACTTGACTGTCTCTCAGAAATCCTTCCTCTGAAGAGGAAGGCAAGCCTGCTACACTTCCTGGAATTCAACAAAACACTGTTCTTTAAGGGAAAAGAAAACTTTGAACAATACGTGTCTGTTTCAACAGCTTGTCTCAGTGTTCTGAAAGTGCTAATTTGCTTTCAAGCACACAACAAAGGCCAATTCTCCCCCTTTCCAGTTGATTCCATGGTTTGTTGGCGCTTTAAAAACACATTACATAAATCCCTGGAAATCTTTTGTGAGGATAAACTCGACATTCTTAAGCAGTGATCTGTTGCCCTCTTAACTCAAGGCTCTGGAGCCTGGACCAAACCTGGGTGCTGCTGAGAGTTGTTTTTCTCAAGGAAAGCACCAAATAAAGGCATTTTCCTCCTGAGAGCTGATGTTTTGTCTTTGTCCAATACTGTGTCACTTTCAGTGACTCATTTAGTGCCAACTCATTTCGAATGCAAAGCAACAGGATTCGATTCGCAAGCTCCTCAACTTAAGACAGGGTCGCATCCCAATAAACTCATCATGAATTGGAAAGATTATTTAGTCAAAGTGAATATAATACACACCCTACCGAACCTCATGGTTTAGCAATACCATGTGCTCTAGGATGTTGTGTGCTTAAACCCAGAATCACGTGGCTGGTTGAAAGCTGTGGCCTGCTGCTTCTGGCCAGCCTCCCGAGACAGTGTCACACTGCTTAACACTAGGCTGAGAAAATGTACATATTCAAAACTCAGATCGCATTCGATTGAACGTGTCTTGCTTCCTCACTGTAAAAAAAGGTTTAAAAACAAAACAAAATGAAAAACCCTAAATCTAACTATTAGGTGTAGAGGACTCTGTGTGTGAGTGTGCGCGCGTGTGTGTGCGCACGCGCGTGCATGAGCATGCATGTATGTATGTGTGAGTGTGTGTGTATGCTTTTGCGTGCACATCTCTCGTTGCTTAAAAACACAATCAGCTTTTGTTATACAAGTCCTCTTCTGAACTACTGAAGCATGACACTTGCATTTGGTACATCACCATTCCTGGCAATGAGTTGAGATCTCTGATGTTCATATTATTTTTTGCTGAGACGGTGCCTACCAGTTTTAGGAGTTGCCCAATTGTTCTTGATACTTTAATTGGTTGATCAGTGATCTCTTCTGTCCTGTGTGCTTTCTGAGAATACGCTATGAAAAGCTCCAGGCACCAAGGCAGAAATTCCACCATGTATTGCTTTCCTGTACCCAGATCTCCTCTTTCTGGACTAGAAAAGACAGAACAGAATTGTGGCTGCAGATGCCAAGTATGAGCTCTTGGACCCGGACAGGACACAGAGAGTCCCGCTGACAGGGCAAGGCAGTATGGGAGGGATCCAGGATGACTATGCTTGGCTGTTGTAGGGGCAGACCACCGCTCGCACCATTCATCCTCAGTAAGGATGTGCAAAGAAAGGAGGAAACTACTGGCGAAGTGAATGAAAAGATACAAATTTCCAACTTCTAAGAAATACAAAGTTTAAGGATTTTTTTTTTTAAAAAGAAGGGACTTTCGAAGGAGTATAGAATCATCCAAGAATAATATATTTACAACTTTAATGGCCTTGATTGTGTTAATAAAGCTATTATTCATAAAAGAGAACGAAAACTGTCCGGTGTTGGAGGCAGGCTCTACGGCACCAGTGCTTTGGAACGAGCAGCATGACCGCCTACGCAAAGCGTAAGAGGAGAATGAAGACCAGTGCGGCGCAGTTTAGCAGGGCAGATGGAGCCGAGCTGGTTGGGCCCTTCAGCATGCATACCACCCTGGACCAGGATCCATTGTTGGGCAGCGGGGTGATGCCTGCCACATTGCACATAACGTTGTAGACATCCACGGATCTGATCGGAGCAGCTCTGAAGTTGGACTTGAAATCTGAAAGGCAAAAATAGACAAGCAGATAGTCATGGTTGGTCACCTAAAAAAAGGAAGGTTGACTCAAAGATGGAGAAATTCTGCTCGGACTCCGGGAAAGTCTCCTTCGTCAATGCCTGTGGCTAAGCGACTACAAATGAGGAAACATCGGTGGAACGTTACGGGTTGGGAAGGATGGATCCTCTATGGGGCACAAAGATAAGATTCTTCCAATGACAAGTCTTCTTTGTGCTTCCGCTTCCTACGCTCCCATTAACAGTGGGGTGCTCCTGCAGAGACAGGCCAGCTGGAGCTGTTTTGTTTCTTTAGATGCCAGTGTGGTCAGAGAAAACAGCCTGTTCTACTGGGCCCCTTGAAAACATCATGAATATCTTCCAGAACTTTTAGCCAGCCAGGGCTCATAGCTAGGGTTCAGAGCACCCACAGCAACTTGAGAATGTCTGTCTCTTCCTGCCTTACCGAGGTCACAGGTCTTCATGGCCCATGAGGCTGTGTAATATTGCAGTTGCTGATAGCCCACCAGCAATGGTAGTATTGTTTTCAATATACTCAGAGTATTAACTGAACATGGCTTGGGAGCCTTTGGGGAACAGATGAGATAATTTAGCCATGAGGAAAATGAGCAAACGGGCATTGAAGCTGAGATTCCAGGAAAGATTTCAAGTGACATATGGGGAGCAGGGCATTGTCCTCTACCCAGATCCTGTGCCAGCCCAGGGCATTGAGCACAGGTGTGAAAAGCATGGGGCTAGCCATGTACAGAGCTGTGTCCTCAAAGGGCACGAGAGGTGGCTCTCTATGCTACTGGAGGGATTTTAGTGTAGTGTGCCTGTTACTTCTCTGTGGCACAAACAATGAGTGTGGAGCCCCTTTCTTTAGACCGTGACATACAACATCCACAACAACTTTTGCTTTTAAGCTCCTCCAAAAAAATACCCAACAAAATATCACGAGCTATGTTGAAGCTGAGTTCAAGGTTGAGTGTTGATCCATCAACAGAGACCCCATGCTTTTAATGTTCATCTAAGGTTTTTAAGAATCATTGCACTTGTTTTGCCCCAGGGACCGGATATACTGAATTTAAGAGGGCAAACAACCTATCAGATATATCTTCTGGAAGTATGGCACTGACCAATCTGTCCCTGGAATAAGCAGTTGTGGAAGAAAGCTGTAGTCAAAAGCCCCTGCCACTCAGTGTGTAGAGGTAGTGCAGCTTCTCAAGAGATGGGATTTGCTTTCTTTGGAGAATTAAAGTTGAATTCAGTGTAAAGAGGCACCAGCGCTCGAAAGGAAGAGGGTGTGGGAAATGGCACCTAAATCAATGCCAGACCCGGTGGCTATTATTACTCATAAATAAGTGTATAATAAGTGGCAGCAAGAAAAAAAAATTGGGATTGAAAACATTCACCTCATAAATGGCCTAGAGGGTTCATTTTCTTCTGAGGCAAAGAGAATAAGGGTCAGCATTACTTCAAAGTAAAAACTAGTTTTTTTTAAAAAAAAAGTTAAAAAGAACATGGCTGCATGGGAAAATAAAAAGAAGGCTCCTCTCAATGTCTCGGCAGATTACATAACTAGGTGATGATGGTGACGGCACGTTACCATCAGATGAACTCACCACAACCCAAGAGATCAAAGGAAAGTCTGCCCAAGAGTAATGGAAGCAACTGTCTCCTCTCCTCCTGACTTGCCATGTGACCTGGATGTGAAGACCATGCCACCCATCACATGAGGCTGAATCATCATCTGCCGTGTATGGGGTGTGTGTGTGTGTGTGTGTGCAAAGCATCCTTTGACCTTTCAAAAATCCTCTTTTTAAAGACAGGAAAAAAAAATAGTTGAGATGAAGTTCCGACAAAAGTCCTAAAAAGGATGATCTTATTTGAACTAACGTTGAAAATACAAAGTTGTGTTCTACGCCTAAGAACAGGAAGGAGAGATTCAGATTTCTCCCTCATTTAGTTCATGGCTTTCTGCTCTAAAGTCATGGAATTTTGAGCCCAAGTCAAAGAACTGCAGATTTTTAGAAAATTCCCAGGCCGTTGACCAACACCTAGTTCCCCTAGCTTGGCTTCCACCAAGTTCCACTAGCTCCAGGTGATATTTTGAACCTAGATTTGGATCTAAGTTACTTGCACAGGCCTAATGTGGGCATTATATTTGGGTATTAGATGTGTCTGCTGAAAGGGAAAGGTTCCGTAGGCTCGTGCTGTGCCCAGCCAGCTTGGGCTGCAGCTGTGAGAGAGGCTTGCTGGTTTGTAACTATTCACTGACTCCTGCTCCTAACATCTCATCCTGAAAGCAGAGTTCTCCATGGTTAAGATTAGGTGGTTGAAATTAGAAGCTGGGATTAAGCGCAGAGAGGCTGTCTTCACAATTGTTTTCTTTTCTCTTTGCTGGGTCAGACTTAACTGACATGGAAGGCTGGTATCTGGGCAGCCACAATGATGCCCAACCTCCTCCCTAAGCAAGGAGCATGGACAATGAATCAGGAGGGATGCGCCTTTACCTCCAAGTGCAGCTAGATAGCTATTAAAGGCCTCGCTCTTAAATTTTCTTCTGAGTAAACAGACAGTGTGTAAAGCTATTTAATCTTTCATGAGAATTGGAGCCAGGGACGTGATGGTTTACGGGAGGCTCTCAAGGAAACATTTTGCAATTAGCCCAGTCCATTTTCATCAGGGGTTGTCCTTCTGTCTGTAAAATACTAAGGGCTTTCCATTTGAAAGGAGCTGATGACAGTGGCTTCTGTTAATAGATAAAACATCCCTGGTGAATTTAACTCTAAGTTAGCACAGTGCTGGGTATTTTGTTTAGAACTTTCAATTCGGGGCTAGATTGGTTTATGCTTTAAAGCACACACGAGACTCCTGCTCACATACAGTCCAAGAGACAGCTGTTCTGCATCCTCTACCTTACTTCCCTCTCCTGGGGAAGAAAGTGGTGATCTTTTTGATTGACAATCCTGATGATTGACATCCTCCCATACAAAGACCATGACTTTGGTATATCTGTTTTTCTGACCTACAACAAACCTCAACATTGTCCTAAAAGCTCCATTCTTAATTCCTCTTGCACAGAAGCTCTGCTTCAGTGGGCTTGGCCAACAGCAAGCGCTTCTAACTCACCAGCCAAGGACAGCGTACTCAGACGTTCTCTGGTCTCTTGGACCTGTGTCAGGAGCCCAGCCAGTGTGCCATGAACATTCGCTCTCACTGATTTGGATGCTGCCTTTGGCTTTTGAAAATCACATGTGGGGGTCACACATGGACCAGGATTTGGACCAAAGTCTTTTCCCAAGATCAGGCTCTTAACAGGTATTTTGTGGTAAGTGGAATAAACTGAGACAGACAGAATAACAAGAGAAAGTTGACATCACTGGTCTCGCTACAGGAATGAGAAGAGCAGAGCTCACGGGAAGACGACCTTACATAGAACTGGAAATGAAAGTGTGGACTTTCTTGAGCAGACACATTTTGATTGACATGCAGAGATGTGTCTTTGGAATATGGATGTCAGGGGAATCTATTTAATAAAGGCGTGGAAAGCATGGCTATAAACAGTCACCTGATGGTTGAGAGCAGTTGAAGTCCCTCCCTTCCAATGTGCGGATTCATAATGCCCTATCAGTTAAGTTAAATGACAGAAGAGACTCTCTTCATCTGCCTTTTATCCCACACCTTGGGAATATAACCTGATCAAGGAAGGCTCCGCACATTTACTTTTATACAAATATCTCTCATAATTCTGGCTCATTCTCAAAGTCAATCTCAAGGTCATTTCTGAGCCTGCCCTTGAATACATCCTAACTTCTAGTTAGACTCTAAGCGGACCAAGCCCACGAGGGCGTCCAGAGTAGGGCTATTTAAAAGTCAGACTCCAGGAAGCAATAGTGTCAACCCGTGGGGCTCACAGCTGTCAGCAAACTGCTGTCTGATAAGCCTTCCTGGACATCAGATAGCTGTGGAAAAAAAAAAGTGTTTCGATGAATTAAGTAAAAAGAAAAAAAAATGAATCACAGACATGTGGAATACATTTTCTGCACTGTACTCAGGATTTAAAATTTACAAGGAAAAGTATTTGGCCACAATTGCCAAACCAAAGAAGCATTTGAAAGGAAGCCAGCGAAAGATGTTTCATGGAGAGCGGCTGGATTTGCTTAGCTTGGCTCATAAAGAGGGTCCATAAAGAAACTCCTCCAGCTTGTACGAGGGTGGTTAGTCCCTATTAGAGCTGCTTCCTTGGAATGCTGCCTATGAGTGTCCAGTCGTCTCCTTGCCTACCAGGTCCAAAGGCCAGGAAGATGCCTCTCATGTCCATGAGCTCGTTGTCATAGCCGTGCCACCCATGCTGCCAGCCTTCCCGCTTGCCAGTGCTGTTCATCCAAAATGGAAGCATCTCTCGATTCTGAAACCAAGAAAGACAGCGATATTACATTGCTCCTAGACGGTTGGGACCAGGGGGCAAACTGACTGCTATGTGGAGATTTCCTTGCCAGTGTCATTGACAGAGGTCATCTGGCTTCAGCCAGATCACTTCCTACTTCAGGTAGCTCCGACCCTTGGCAGCAGCCTCCTAAATTCCTGAACGCCTCTGGTTAAGGAGGCATTTTCTTACTGTGAGATGAATTGTATCATGTAATGAGGTTTGGAACCGCTAAAGACAGCATGTTAGTGGTAGAAGGGACGTTAGAACATGTCTGTGGTATAAAAGCAGATTTGCTTTTTATCCCGGGTTCCTGCCACAGAGCTCCTAAAACCCTTGGAATTTCCTGGATGACAAGAGGGTCTTTTGTTGTCCTTAATGAGCTCCTTTCTCCTGTACAGAGTCTATGCAGAGATGGCCACTGGATAGGGGGACTACACAGCCTCAGGGTAGGGGGCTGTTCACCCAAGGAAACCTCCTGATTAGAAGGTTTCAGTGTTTGTTCCTGATCCTCAGCCACTAGAGAGAGGGAAGGTGTTGGATTTTGAGTCCTGTCATGTGACCAATACGATAACTCGTCCTTGCAAAATGACACCCGTATTCAACCCTAATGAGCATGGTTTAAACACCTTCCAAAGAATAAAACCTTTGTGCCCCCACATACCACCCAGATATGTCGATCTGGCTGTCATCAAGTTGTGTCCTTCATAACAAACCTGTAATCACAAGTACAGCGCTTCCCTGGGTCCTAGGATTCATTCTAGTGAACAGAAGTCAGATGGCGAGAATCCTAGCCCAATCAGGTATAAGACTCGGTAGCCTGAGGAGCCAGGGCTTGCACCTGGCAAGTGAGTGGAGTCTTGCAGCACCGAAGCCCTTAGCCCGTGCTGTCTGCTCTGACTCCAGGCATTGGCGTGGGATGAAATTGAACTTTCAGATACCAAGATGTTGAAAAGTTGTTGGAAATTATGACACGCTTAGAGTCACCTCATTTTGTAGCAAAGCAACCAGAGGCCCAGGGGGTCCACTTCGCCCCCTCCCAGTGACCATTCCACACCATTCCTCTTCCGGCTCCACCCACAGAGACAGCGCTACAGCCATTGTCCTCAGCTCTCTCTAGTTAGCCATTTGAAGATGGCTCCCAAAGTCCTCTTACCCAGGCCTCCTGCTTCTTCATTTCCCTGAACTACTCTTCACTTGGCAAGGGCGTCAGGACCACCATTTTCCTGTCATTTTCTAGACTACTTTTTTTTTTTTTTTTTTTGGCTCCAGAGGCTCAGTTGTGGTGAAAAAGAAGCTTAAAGCCTTGCTGGGTCCTGAAGAGCCTGCAGCCTGTTGAACACAACCCTAGCATTTGCTGCAGGCAGAGCGTGTGGTTTTTGACGGTCCTTTTCCTGATGAGCACAGTTCAGCACTCCAAGTATTTCAAATGCAGGAGCAGACTCAAAGCAGCACAGTAACCACACAACCAGCCGTCCCCAGCTTGATCCCCAACTACCAGTATCATGTATTTACAGAGTCATCCAGCACACCCAAGGCCAGTCCTGATGTTTACAATCACCACGACACCCCACTGCGGTCAATCCTATCTTTTATCATTCGTAATTAAAAGGCACTACGGCACAGAGGGGGTTAAGTGAAACTCTTACAATCACACAGCCAATAAGAGGCAGAGCCAAAACTGGAGTTCAGGTCCATCTGTCAGTCATTATATGCATTCTACCACCTGACAGCCAAGAAGTAAGTGATCCTGGTAACACTGGACCATGAAATGTCTCCTCGTGCCCCAGGTCTTCACCCACTCTGCGGGGTAGAGAGAGGGACTTGGATTGACTATGGAGTGTTTAAGTTCATTTCTTCCTCTATGTTCTTTGGTCCCAGGTAGACATAACTTCTCTGCATTTCACTCTCCTTGTTGGATGTGGGGATGCTTACCACTCGCCTTGTGGAGTTTGGGAGGCTAAGATGACTGTGAGGTGCTCAGCACACAGTAGGTGCTCAACAAACGGCTGGTCTGGTCACCAGATGCCCCGAGCTGTGGGGTGAGGCACTCAGGCTGTGAGGCTGAAGCCTCAGCTTATTCAGCTGCAGCATTTTGTACTCTCATCCGCTCTCACCCCATAAATCGCTCCTGAGCCTTTCTGCTCTCCAAAGGGCCCCTTTTCATTGACTCTCTGTTTCCTGGCTTTCCGTCATGCCTCGTCCCCCCTCCTTTAGCTGGAGCTTCCATTTTTCTGTGGACGTTCTTTCTTTATGAACTTACTACATTGCTAACTTTTCATACTGGTTTTTGGTTTTTGGTTTTTAGCTGGCTGTAGTGAGGAACACAGCACATTCCAATTTAGCCTCATCAGCTGGCTTAAACCTGTTGCTTTTCCCGTTTTCTGTCCTCAAGGCAGAGATCCGGAAGCCCTAAGTGGAACGATTTGATTCTTCAAATCTCACTCGTGATGAGCCTTGTGGTATGTCTGTTTCCCACAGCTAAGGGATGAAGATGGACAGCATAACTTAAAAACTACAGTCAAAAAGGCTACCATTTCTTACTGCACAGATTAATGATGATGATAATCTTAGTTCTAGAGGTAGTTGGGGAATGGTATGATCACATACAAATTACCATCATTACCAGACTGACAAGTTGCCCCAGAGGGAGAAGAACCCAAATAAATATTTTTACTGATATAGATAAAAACAACAATAACAACAACAACAACAACAACAACAATGAACTGGTTATATAAGAAGGGAATTAATTCTTTTAAGCAAACAGGTGGACCAGGTGACATGCCAATAACCCTTTAATTTCAAAGCGATGGCTTTTGACGTCTTTGCATTGTACACACATTGTCTCCTCAAGGCACACGCATGGAACAATGCAATAGGAAGGGTGTACCACCGCTCTAGCTTTTGGGTCTTGAGGCTGCTGGTGGAGGAGCTGACCCTATTCAGACCCCTACCATGGACTGCCACACAGTGCCACCTAGTGGCATCCTGGGGAGGTAACCAGATCCTCTAGATCCGGCCAAAGGGGAGAAACTAAGTGTGCACACTCGTGTGTACACACACACACACACACACACACTTGAGGGGCTGCAGGAGAGGGGGCCACAATGAGGCGGCTGCAGCGAGAAGCCAATCAAGAGGAACAGACATCCTCCAGTTTCTTCTTCATGACAGGACCCTGGGCACATTGCTGGGGCAAGGCCTGACCCTAAGGAGGCTCCAGGAAGTCAGAAGCTCTTACACTGCTTGCTTCACACAGAACAAGACCAGAAGGAGAGCACACCAGGCACAGGGCTTTCTATGCTCACCTAGGGAATGGCCAATCCAGGAAGGCCACCAGCTGTCCCGGTTTGCTGCCATGGGGATTTATGAGATTCAAGACTCCAGATTGAAAACAGGACCAGCCCCAGGCAAACTAAGGCCAGCTGAGGGCTCTGCATTTAACAGTGTGTGAACTAGAAGTCACCAGCACCATACGAGGGAACCCTGGGAAAAATGGGCAAGGGTTTTAGATTTGGAATTGATTCCCTGAGCTCTGCTTCCAGCGCACCATCGTGACACCTATGATGTGCTGGCTTTAATGTGGGGTGCCAGAGGGCAAATGATAAGACTTTTAGAGCTTCGTGTCAACCATCCATAGTGTTGATAAGAAAAAATAACATTCAGATCAGAAACTTATAAAGGGAGGTTTGTTCAAGCTTTGCCCACGACTGTTTCATCAAATTCCACTGTTCGGGACTCCTTGGTGTTAATCTGCAGTGAACTAAAAGAACAGCTAGAAATGTCAGGTTGGGAGTAAGAGTGAAGGTGGAAGGAGGGATGGAAGGATGGGAATGAGTGAGTAGCCTGATCATCATGGATCTGTTAGTTTCTGTTTGCACACAGGCAAGATTCTTGCTCTGTCGGATCCCTATCACTCACCATTGTTGTTCTGGGATGTGTTGGGATGGCTGGTTCTCACCTGTTTGCTCCCATTTCTCCTGACTGATTGTCGAGTCTCAGGGAAACATACCCCTGAGGAGGCAGACGGTGAATAGCTGAGGAGGTGACAATCTGGTGTGGGTGTCCTGCCCTGTATCACAAAATGACTCCTGAGGATGTGGACATGTGATGGGGATAGATTCTCCCTCTGCCCAGAGGGTGTGGAGTGGGGCCACACTGAGTCCTCTTCCCAGCTGATGCCCTTCTCTCTGTCTTCCCTCGGAGGCCACAGCCATGAGGGCCAACTTTTGAAGGAAACAGCCACTGTTCATATGGGTGGCTCAGAAGCCAGCCTAGGCATAGACTCCCCTGAGCACGTCCCACGTTGCACCCTTGAAAGCTTGCATTCTGTAGGTCAGGGTTCACCAGGGAATGATCTTTCCCATATCAGAGCATGGGAATTCCTATTCACCCAGCATCGTTAAGCTGCAATTGATCATTTCCTGAGGCCAGGCTTTGTTTTCAGTGACCACCGTCCCAAGGTCAGAGCATGTGTTTTCTGTGTGGCTCTGGGTACAGCTTGAGAAGCCCTTTCCAGAAAGTCCACAAAGCCAAACTGTTGTCATAATCAAGCCATGAAATCAGCTTTGACCCAATGGAACAACCGAGCAGCCAGCCTTCTCTAACTGAGCTCCGCCCTCTCTGGCTGGTGCCTGAGGAGGACTGGTTACTGTATGTAACTCTTCCACCACTGCTGTCATTTGGATCTGGAATATTCTCCAAGGCCCATGTGTTAAAGCCTGGGTCTCCAGCCAATGGGCATAGGCAGGTGACAGAACCTTTAGGTGGGCTCAATTGGGAAGACATTGGGTCGTTGGAGGATTGTCCTTAAAGGTAATATTTGGACCCTGGCCACTTCCTTCTCTCTTTGCTTCACAAATATCAATATGTGAATGGGGCTCTTCTGCCCTGTGCTCCCACCATGCTGTGATGTGTTGGCCCCAAACAGGATCAGTTGATCATGGGACCAGGAGCCAAAGCAAACCTCTGTCTTTTAT